TTGTTCTGACTGCGAGTTGAGGGGGTGAACGGTGCTCGATTTTCTTTATTTTTTTCTGGGACTTCTATGGCGTGGGGTGGAAAACGAACGCTTTTTTTATAGGTCATTAACGTCAGCGATCCGTTTCAAGCGGTATTTGTGCAAAGTACAAAAATTGTTGCATCGCCTCTTTAAAGTATATGCGAACCGACCTATAGACCTTTCCAGCGGCAGTCTGGAACGAAGCGATTTACAGCGGGCGTCCCTGGTTTTGAGAGGGCACGTCAGTGTTGCCCAACTGCTCTGAGCTGAGGGTTTTCTAGTCAGTGGGCTGTGGCAGCCTGCATAGGCGCACCTCCGGGCGCAAGTGGAGGCTAAATTGCCGCGTTCTATTTTTTATTTCGTGTTCTGCGGCAAGTAGAATGTCCCTGGGTTTCTAAGAATGCATTGTACTATTTTTTGGGAACAAAAACGAAGAAATGAAAGCTGTTTTGGTGAGTCCGTGCACGACAGAACAAATGCAACTGGAAAATTCGTTTCCTTTTATGTTGATCTGTTTACGGCACCGTACACTCAGCTGTATCACTTTACAAAGGCCTTAGCGGTCGAAAATATTTGACCACACAGGATATCCGACTGCATGGATATTCCCCGCCCACAACATGAAATTCAAGGAGCATCATCAATCGAATAGCATATACATATATTGTACGTACCCCACGGTGCCGCGTTATCCAAACGGGACTTGAAAAGGGTCTCAAATAACCGTGCATGTGCAATATACAGTGTCGACAATCGCCGGTAGTCACTTCACGACAACTAGACGGAATTCGGTGTGTTTTGGGGAACACCTAGAAGAGAGCTGCTTTTTCGCACAGCTTCAAAGCAACTGTACGAACGTGTCTATTCCGTCGCCACAACCCGGACCCGACCCTATCAGCTATTTTTCGCGAAGACCGGGAACATAGCCGGGAGGGCTTTTTGGAGATTATCTCAACATAAATAATCCTCCAAGAACGTCGAACTGCCTGCGTCGCGGGCAGCCTGACGTTCGCTCTCTTCGTTCGTTTCCTGCGAAGGCCGAGTAGGCTACAAGCCCTGGTATTCCCTAATTCTCACAGTGGAAGATAACACACAAAGGGTAAGCTTCATAAACAGGCAAATAAAGTAAAAACTTCCAAGAAAAGCTGGCGAACTCCGACTGCACAATGCAGGTGGGAAGTCACGCTGACCGGGTTTCCACAGCGCAGGCAAGTGCCAGAAATTTCTGGCTGATAGGGGTCGCTCGATTCGCAAAATGGCGGCGGCCAGAGCGCTCTTTTTGGAAAGGTCCGTACGGCAGCTTACAAAGAGTAGTGCGTTAGCATGTGCCAGCCGCCGAGCCTTCAACCTCCTGCTGCCGTGCGCAAGTGAACATTGAACACGGTTGTCCTGTGTTCAATCTTTACATGTTCCGGCGTATCGGTGTGCCGTCGTGTACCTCTACAGCGCGACGCATGTTCAAAAACTCACTTAAAGGGGCGATGCAATGATTTTTGTATTTTTAGGAAATACCGCTTAGAATGGATCCCTGGCGTTAATGACCTGTGAAATACCCGTTGTTTTTTTACCACACGCAGTCGAAATCGCAGAAACAAATGAAGAAAAACGGGCAGAGTTCGCCCCCTCAACTCGCAGCCAGGACAAGCGGCCACGTGATCTGGAGCCCATTATATGCCGCCAATGTTGATCATAGCCATGCTCTGGGGTTGGCAAGGCACAGGAGACGCGCTGAGTTCCAGACATTGTTATGGTTCGGCTGTTGTCGCCATTGCAGCGATTGGACACAGGACACTACCCGAATGCTCCTCGAGCTATCGATTTTCACGATCCCAAATCGAGTGCCCACGCAATGCTCGGGTCCAATCTATGAGCCGGATTCAAATATCGTCACTGGGCGGTACTGCTACCGCCCAGCTACGTCATCAGGTTTTGCGAGGGAGGGGTTGAATGAAAACACCCGATTTTTTCCTCGAAATTACAGCGCAACAAAGGAGTTTGTTGGTCAGTGGCGTTGCGTGCGAGTAGAGTGCCTTCATACACACGCGCGCTTTTGCTTGAGTGGTGACATCTCAGCCATTTTTCCGCCCAATCGTTTTTTTTATGCATTTTGAAGTGCGCGCAATCTGGTGTCATTCAGCTCGAGCACGTAGCTTTGGTTAATGCATAGACGCCATTTTACCGCCCAAGTCACGCACCGAGTGCGCGAGAGCGTAACGCGCTGGCACATTCAGCGCAACAATGGATGTCTTCACCCTGAGACGGACAGACATGTAGGCACCCTACGTGCGAGTATCCTTGAGTCCCCCTAGTGCCAGTAAGCTCGTGCAAAGTGAAAAGCATTCCAATTGAATATCGTTGCACCGCCCCTTTAATAGGGGTAGCGCACTGGCTAGGTTATTCATCTTCAGCGGATACTTAAATCCAGGCGCAGCCGATGAACGAAGCGCGAGCATGTGGCCTTGAACAGCGCTTGCACTGCACGAGCGCGAGTGCTGGGCAGAGACGCTGAAAGCCCAAAGTTCGCTCTTGTAGCTTCTGGTACGCTCACACGTAAATGATGATGATGATTAACTTTATTTTCAAAAAGGGTGGCGCCATGGCCTCATTGGGGGAAGGGGAACATAGGTAGGAAAAGTTTACATTCGGCGGTGCACTCTTGTCGAGAGCGCGAACTCCCACAGGGAGAGTAGCTTCTCCCTGGCGCGTGCCTCGTTAACCGGTGTGATCCAGGCCTCTAAAGTGTCGATGTGAGGCCCCAGGTGTTCGGCTCTTTTGTCTCGCAAGCCGACACAATCCCAGAGGAGGTGTCGGATCGTCGGGCTCACGCCGGCGGTGCGTGTAGTGCAGACGACGAGTGCAGCGGGCTCGGACCCTTCGATGGCACTTGGTCGGGTGGGCGGCCCCTCCGTGGTTTGTAGCTACGCCATCGAGCGAGTATGTCTTCGGTGAGCGCAGCTCCGGTGCGGGCCTTGTGTATTAACACTTGTGCCCACACGTAAATAAATATTAAAATGAAAACAAAAAGATTTTATTCCAATTTTCAAATAAATAAAAATAATTCCGAGAGAATTGTGATTCAGCGTCATGACCAACAAGGCTTAGCGCGATAAACCGGCAGCTGAAAGTGACCCCCATCCGGCCGCAGTCATGTTGCTCATTTTTTACCACTTGACACCTTATCTTGTAGTTTGACCTCTCGTTTTTGACAAATAGCACGCACAGATAATTGCTTATCGATCTATAATAGTAGTACCAACGAGATAAGTTATGTTTCATTTATTTGAAGTCCGGAATGGGCTATTACGACAATACCTCGGGCAGCTTCGCCATGTCTTCGATAGATGCCGTCAAGCGCGGTGCTGCACTTTAGAGTTTTTATCGGAGCTAGACACTGATATCTGGGGCTGAGAGTATGGAGAAATAGTTTATTATGTTTCTTTACAGTAACGCAATAGAAATCTTGGCTCAGTTTTGCGTAAAAGCCTCAGAATTTGGTACAGTCACTTGTCTAGTGGTCAGAATTGTACAACATGGCGGTTAGCGAGGGGGGGGGGGGGGGGGTTATCTGTAACCCCTCTGCCTCGTTGGTCATGACGCACAATCAAAACACGGCCTAAAGATATTCGCTTTGGCAGGCCAGGTGCACTGGAAATCTTTAGCTAATTGACTTTGAAGCGAAATGACGGGATAAACGTAAAGCCCGGGTGACACTGTTTATGCATCATAAAAAAAAAAGAGTCTGCATCGAGATTCCAACGCGAGTCACCGCGAGATCCCTGCTTCGAATGCCGAGAGCAACGAGTTCAGGGAGGAAACTTGGGCATTGGCATTCGAACCACGAACATTCCGGTGACTCGATCGTGTTTGCAGACGGTCTTTTGTATGATATCTGAGCGGTGTGACCCCGGCTCTTCGGATTTCTTTCTAGCCTCGTCTAAATTCGTAAGGTAATTGACGTTATACCAGAGTTCCAAATTAAGTTTTATTATTCTATCGTTGACGAAATATTTGCTTTTTAAGCTAGATAGTCACCGACGGCTATTAGTCACCGACGGCTTCAGAAATATCGGCCGTGTGACTTATTACCTTAATTTTTCTCGCTTTGTGATTTGTTCTTGAGCGTTGTTATCAAAAATTGCCGATATCGATTTGGTTTCGGAGCAAAAATGAAACTATTGGGTCCTGGCACGCGCTGCGTTGTTTAGGACGTCAGTGACCGTAGTTTACCATGTCGTATTCCCTTTCCTTGTTTCTGATAATAATCACCCCAAGCCATCGTAAGCTAGGAAGCGATAAAAAGTGGGTGATTTTATTGATTTGGAATACGCCCATCCGTGGCATAGTTACTGTTTTTTTTTTTTCTATAAATCTCGTCAGGTTAATTTTGAGTTCATTCTTACGACGTAGTACCGCGATGTGTAACTTTGTTGTTTCTGTCGCTTCAAGGCTGTTTCAGGCATTTGTGTGAGCTGCAACCACAGAAACCAAAGCGAGGAGAGAATCGGAACTGAAATTCATAATTGCTTTCCGAAGCTACTTCTGGCATTTTTTTTTTACTCCGTTGTGTATTACGACCACTTGCCTCGCATGTTAACGCAGCCTCTCTGAACAATGCTTTTCCCTTAAAGAGTCACGTCACAAACGTCAGCTATGATCCGCTAGAGCTGTATTTTGAAATAACAACAAAAACAACAACCAAACCAAAAGAAACCAAAGTGACGAGGGAACCGGAATAATTAAAATTTATAATTGCTTTCCGAAGCTAAACTTGTAATTTCTTTTTTTTTTACTCCGTTGTGTATTACGAACACTTGCCTCGCATGTTAAGGCAGCCTCTTTGAACAATGCTTTTCGCTTAAGAGAGTCTCGTCACAAACGTCAGCTATGATCCGCTACAACTGTATTTTGAAAGAACAACAAAAAAATAGAAACTTATTTAACACTTGGGCGGTGTTCAGTCGATCTCAAAAGAGGAGTGAATGCAGAAAGAATACGTTGTTATGGGCTTCCAGTGCTCATTGTTGTTAGCATTTTTCGCCGCGGCTCAGGTCTGGGCGCAGTACGGGGAATGGACGCCGAGTTTTCACTGGACGGAGAAAATGGACATAAAAAACCCGGAAAACAGCCCTACCTTCAACAACCTAGAACTTGGGTCTCTGCAAGATGCATGGCAGGTACGTGATTACGACAAGAGGGGGTGGGGACGAAACACAGGCTGTTTTGGTAAGGCTTTACAGATTTGTTTTAAAAAAGACAAAAAAAGGTGACTTATGCTGACTGTGCAGGTGAGTTACACGGTCAGAAAGACCTAATATAGGTCGATAAGCATCACGATAAATCAGTTAATTAACTAAAATTTGCTCGTTAATATTTTTTATTCATTGAAGATAAAGATATGATTTTTATCAGAAACTTGCTGACTATCATCGAAAACTACTAAATGAAAAAACAGTTAGGGCGCAGGCGAGCATGTGTAAGTTTACCATTTTTTAGACCACCTGAGACTGGGTGGAATGGACAAACACGAGACTGGGTGGACAAACACGATGAGTAAATACCAGAATTACTTGGAGCCCGTAGGATGAGCGCTAAAGTTACCATCATCGAGGTGCTCTGGAGTCGAAATGAGGTCCCGAGTTTTCCGGTTCAGAGGGACACGCCCCCAACGATGACCGAAACCTAAAGACGGTATTAGACGGAAAGGACACCTGATTTGGCACCAGCAGGGGCGTCGGTGTGGTTTTGGTCACCCTGGGGGGCGTTCCACCGACCGCGTCCACCACTTTCGGCTTCACTCGGGATTTTCTCGTATGGCTGGCTCGAGTCGCTCTATCGCCTCTTCTTCTTCCTACCTCCATGGTTAGAATAGAACTGCAGTGTTGCGAGCGGAGCCATTCGCGTGAAGCGCGTGGTGTAGGAACCAAACCGGAACCAAACCGTTATTTTGACCGAACCCAACGTTACTAAAACACTCAGTTGCGAAGCTCACCTTCGAAACCTCGACCGCTGGCGTTTAACGAGACCGAGCTGAATGCGATAACAGCGCCGCCCTTTAGAAACGAATTGAACATGAAAGCTGTTTTATTTGGCTACTGATGTTGCCAGAGTACCGAAACTCGGGGGCTCGAGGTGCCAAAATAACGTTTCAACGCTTTTTTCTTTTTTTACAGTGCTTAACATGAGCTTTCAGAAAGCATGCGTTTGCGTAAAAACAAACGGAAAAAGTTCTTTTTTTCTGGGAGCATTTATTGATGACTAGTACAGAATGACAGACACACGATGTTTTCTAAACTCTTTAGTTTTGAAGGTTCTGTGGCACAATTTATATTGTTTTTATACAGCCATGTCTCACCGGTGATTTCAGGTAGCGCTTCCCAATCTGGGTGCGTCCTAGCTTTGGTAGTAGTTCGGGATGCGTCCGCTTTGAAGATAGGCGTGGCATTCCTGACGCCCCATTCACCGTATATGTTTCGGCGCCGCCGATTAAAATCCAAATACACGAGTAACAGTGGACGCTATCGAATGCGATACTCTTGAACCAATTCAAGCAGCCGTGCAGTTCCCCGAGTGGCCGCTGCGGGAGAAATGGCGGCGTTACGATCGCAATTAGCTCGGCTCTTGAGTAGTGATCGATGCCACTTTTTTCGACCAGGCTGTATGGCAGCTTCCCAACTGTGTTTTTCTAGTAACGCTGACCGAACCGAAATTTTCGCCGCCATCTTGAAACTGAACCGGCACTGCACAGGAAACAATATAGCAGTAAATAATTCAAAACGGTTTAAGTTAATTTTTTTTTTTTGTATTACAAAATGAATGTTAGAGAAATGAAAATTGGGAGCTGTATTCATATGTAGGGATCAAATTGTCATATACCGAATTGCAATGCATGAGAACTTGTGGGTTTTCGTGGCGCTTTTGTAGTGTCACAATGATTAATCATGTGTCGTGTGGTCACGTGACTTCATAGTGTCAAAGCATGCTGTCAAGTAACGTCAGGTCACGTGCCCTCGGGACGTAGTCACATGACAAAAGTCGACTTAAATTAAGAACGTCAATAGATTTATTAGCGCATTTAATACCGTTACGTCACCTGGCACCTTTCACCGCGAGTCACGTGACACCTTCACGCACTCGATTTTTATAAGCCCAATTCGAGTGCTCGGGTTCGTGACAATTAGCATCGCCAAACATTCGGGTAACGGCTCGTGTTCAATCAGCGATGAAAATAGCCGAAGTCTGAAAATGTCTAAAGTTCAGCCCATGCTTTATTCTTTGCCAAACCCAGCGCATGCCTTTAATGAAGACCTGTCCGCTTGTTCTAATTGCGAGTCGAGGAAGGGAAAGCTCTTTCTGTCCTTTATTTTTTCTGCGTCTGCCATTGAGCGGAGACGAGAACTGATGGGTGTTTCTGCAAGTTATCAACGTCAGGAATTGGCTCTTATCGGTATTCACTGAAAGTACACAAATCGTTGCAAGACCCATTTTACAGGTACACATCATTGAGGCACCCAAACATATTTTCATTGTTGCTGAACTGTTACAGAAAGTTCTCCCCGAGATGAGAAGCTTTAAAAGGGCTAAATTTTACTTTTTGATCCGACGGTAAATAGAACTACAAGTGTGTACGGGAGAGATACCTGAAAAGAAAGATCCTAGTGTCCTCCAAGGGACAGCCGAACGTTGGCTGCCGCTCAAAGTCTCACGGGAGTTTCGTTCTCAAGTTCTTCCCAAAGCTTCGACCACCTCCATATGTTGTATATAGACCTCTTCATTTTCCTCCGCATGGGCGCTGCCATCTTGGAATCACGTGACGCGGCAGCCATTAGGTTGCTTCAACTTGCTGTTTTGCTCTCCCCTCCGCGCCTTGGCGGATGCGTTGTATTCGTGTTTTTCGTAGCGTTCCACCGCGCTTTCTTGCCTTACTTCGGAAATTGTAGTCCGATACGTCTACTCAACGACTAAGACATTACGAGGGTTCAAAGGTCTTTATGACAACTGAGGTTTGTTTACTAATAGTAGCGGAGCATACTCAGTAAGAAGCGCGTATATTTATATCACGCATTTTGATCAGAAGGAGCGCAAGGAGACTATTTGTATTTCCAGGAAGTATCGTTCTTTGTATTCATATTATAGCGAAAACAGTTTCTTTTGACTATGTGAGGAAACTCGCGGAGAATATAGACAACGAACGTTTAACTTGTATTTTATCTGAGGCTAGAAGTGATGGTACGTCAACATCAGGCGATCAATCAATCAATCAAATCAAATTTATTCGTTGTCACATTTTACATGACAACAGGGACTGGGGCAAAAAGCTGCTAAAGAGCAGCTTGACAAGGGTCCCAGCCCCCGTACAGTTTGCGACAGCTTCAAACAATTTAACGACTAAAATTTAGTATACAACTACACAGTGTACAGAGACTAGTACACACCAATGCAGAAACTTGATTTATACAATACTAAATTTGTTGAAAACATATAGACGAAAAACACACAGGCCAGTGAAAGAAGAACTCGAATAATTAAAGCAATGATACAATCGTACATGAAATAATACATCCAGTTCATAACGAAAAATATCAGCAGTATTCAAAAATCGCCTAGAAAAGTAAGTTCTTTTAATTCCCTATGTGATAGTGATTCAAAATGGCGACCTTTTCTGTACAAACTATTTAACATGGTGGACAATCTGAAATGGAGCGTCTGATTTAGGTAATTTGTACGCGTTGGGCGAATCATCCAGGGTTCATTTTGTCTTAGGTTGCGTAGGATGACGCGATGTTTTAGGTTGACTAGTTTAATAAAATGAACATTATTGTGTTGAAGAGCCCTGCGATACGTTGACAGAAGCTTGTAAGGATACATTTGCTCAACGGTTTTGACATTTAGGGATTTAAATAGTGATTTAGTTGGATGAAGAAATGGAGTTCCTGAAATTGCACGTACGGCCTTCTTTTGTAATAGATGCAACTTATTCAGATTACTTTTTGTTGTGGTGCCCCATATCAGGTTACAGTAATTTAAGTGAGAAGAAATTAATGTATTATATATAGTTAATTTAATTCGAGTAGGAAGTAAACTTTTAAATCTTGTAAGCAGGCCTACATTTTTAGATATTTTTGCTTGCATGTAGTCTATGTGTGCATTCCAGCTCATATCATAAGAAAACAACACACCCAAAGTTTTAATACAATCCACAAACTCAATTTCTTCATTGTTTATTGTAAGATGAGGTAGGTTATTTATTTTCCTATTTTTGGGCCTAAACAAAATAGCTTTGGTCTTTTTACAGTTTAATTTTAGTTTGTTGTTAAGCGTCCAGGCGGCGATTTTTTTTAGCACTTCGTGCACTGTAGCAATAGAAGTAGAAAGATTGTTATGGGAGAAAAAAATACTTGTATCATCAGCGTAAATTATCAGCTTTACATCATCGCTTTTGGCCACATGCACAATGTCGTTTATGTATAGTATAAATAGCAATGGGCCTAAAATGCTACCCTGAGGAACACCCGATTTGATAGAAAGCCTGTCCGAATGAAAATTCAGAAAAGACACGTATTGATTCCTATTTTCTAAGTATGATTTTATGAGATCGAGTGCTACGCCTCTTATTCCAAAAAATGGTAATTTGGCAAGTAAAATATCATGATCGATGGAATCAAAGGCTTTTGAGTAATCAAGAAAGACGCCTAGTGTCATCTTTCTTTCGTCAAAATCTTTCACAATTTGTTCTTTCTGGTTTAATAAAGCCAATTCGGTAGATCGATGTTTACGAAAACCGAATTGCGCATCGGAAATTAAAGCGTGCTTATCAAGATGTGTTATGAGTCTATTGTGTATTAGTTTTTCAAGTGATTTAGAAAAGACAGGAAGGATTGAGATGGGCCTATAGTTATTTATGTCAAGCCTATCACCACCTTTATGAAGAACACTAATTTTTGATACCTTCATTCTCAGGGGAAAACAGCCTGTTTCTAATGCGAGGTTATATATGTATGTTAAATATGGTGCAATAATATCAATGACGTATTTTATAGGTTTTACCTGCATGTTATCAGCGTCGACGCTTTTGCTATTTTTAAGATTTATGACGGTCGAGTAGACTTCTGACTCATCCGTGGGGAATAGGAACATCGATTTCGTATACGATACTGGCATGAAATCTAGAACTTTG